CTCGAAGAATATCCTTTAATGTTTCTTGTAAGGATGATTTAGTGGTGATGAATTCCTTTAGCTTTTCTTAGAGAAACGCTTATTTGGTTATTTTTGTGTTTTTCTTTTTCTTTTTGTTTTCTCCTGGAAAAATCTCTTTCTACTCTAACTGATTGCTTTGAAATACAGAGCATTCTTGGTTGAAGCTTTTCTCCTTTCAACACTTAGACTATATCATGCTACTCTCATCTGGCCTGCAAAGTTTCTGCTGAAAAATCAGCTGATAGCCTTCTGAGGTTTCCTCTGTAGGTAGCTGTTTTTCTTGATGTTTTAAAATCTTTCTGTCATTTAATCATTATGTATTTTGCTATAGACCTCCATAGGTTAATTCTGGGGGTAGCACTATTTATACTGAACAAAATACACTTTAAAACAAAGACTAACAAGAGAAAAAGAAGGACACTACAGAATCACAGAGAGAACAATCCAAAAAGAGGATATACCAATTATAAATATCTACACACCCAACATGGGAGCACTTAAATACATAAATCAAATATTAACAGATATAAAAGAAGAAATCAATAGCAATACAGTAATAGTAAGTATCCACTTACACCAATGGATAGGTCATCAAGGCAGAAAATCAATAACATGGGCTTTGAATCATACACTAGGGGCTAGACTGACCTAACAGTTATATTCAGAACACTCCAAAAAAAAAAAAAAATGAATACACATTGTTTTCAAGTGTACATGGAATATTATCCAGAACAGATCACATGTTAGACCACAAAACAAGTGTCAATAAATTCAAAACGATTGAAATCATATCAAGCATCTTTCTCACCACAAGGATATGACACTAGAAATTAATCACAAGAAAAAATTTGGATAGAAAACAAATATATGGAGGCTAAATAACATGCTACTAAACAATGAATGGATCAACCAGGAAATCAAATAGGAAATAAAACATAAACAGAGACAAATAACAATGAAAACACAATGATCTAAAACCTTATGATTCAGCAAAAGCTGTTCTAAGATGGAAGTTTATCGTAGTACAGGCCAAACTCAAAAACAAGAAAAATCTCAAATAAGCAACCCTAACTTTACACTAAAAGAGCTAGAAAAAAGCTAAAGCCAGTAGAAAGAAGGAAATGAAATGATTAGAGCAGAAATAAATGAAACAAATACTAAAAGAACAATAGAAGAGATCAATGAAATCAGGAGCTGGTTCTTTGAAAAGAAAAATAAAATTGATAAACGTATAGCAGACTCATCAAGGCACATAAATAAAATCAAAAATGAGAAAGAGGATAAATAACAATCAATACCACAGAAATACAAAAGATTATAAGAAAATGCTATGAGAAATTACAGGCCAATAAATTGAACAACTGGGAAGACACAAATTCCTAGAAATACATAAACTTCCAAAACAGAATCAGGAAGAAATAGAAAATTTGAACAGAGTGATTAATAGCAAAGAAATTAAATCAGTGATCAAAAAACTCTGAAGAAAACAACTGGATAGAGGGAATAAAACTGTCTTTATTTGGAAATCTATAAACAACAAGAACTAATACCAGAATTCATTAAAGTTTATGAAAATCAGATTAATGTATTAAAATGAATTTAATCTTCATATGTCCAACATAAGAAGAAAATGTAATTTTATTTTATTTTTTTAGTTTATTTATTTATTTTGAGAAAGAGAGAATAGGAGGGGCAGAGTGGAAGAGAGAATCCTAAGCAGGCTCTGTACTGTCAGTGCAGGGCCTGATGCTGGGCTCAAACTCACAAAAAGCAAGATCATGACCTGAGCCGAAATCAAAAGTTGAACAGTTAACTGTCTGAGCTACCCTGGTATGCCAAAAATGTAATTTTAAAAGATACTATTTAAATGGCAACAAAAGTATTAGGAAATTTACTATTTTACACATCTAACAAAACATGTTCAAGACACAGACACCAGAAATTGAGCTCAACATTATCAGTCATAAGAGAAATACAAATTAAAAACACAGGATTCTACTACACATATGCTACAACAGCCATAATCAAAAAGACAAACAATATTAAGTGTTAATGAGGATGTGGAATTACTGAAGCATTTGTAAATTTCAGGAAGTTAAAATTTTACAGCCATACTGTAAAATCATTTGGCAGTTACTTAAAAAGTCAAACATAAGTTTATCACATGACCCAGCAATTTCACTTCTAGGTATCTACCCTAGGAAAATAAAATCATATGTCTACACAAAGACTGTATGAATGTTCATATCAGCATTTTTCCTAACAGTCAAAGGCTAGGCACAATTCCAATGCCCTTCTACTGATGAACAACAACAAAAAAAATGGTACATCCACATGCTGTAGCATTCATCACTTTTAAAAACTAAAATTACTATATTAACAAAGTAAATTACAAACATCTTGTGATCATCTCAATTGAGACAGAAAAAATATATGACATAAACAAACACTCATTCTTAACAACAATCCTCAGCAAAGTAGGAATAGAGGACTTCCTCTACCTGATAAAGGCATCTAGGAAAAACCTACATCATACTTAATAGAGAAAGGCTGAATCTTTTCTCTCTAAAATCAACAACACAACTAGAATATTCCCATGTTCATCACATCTTGTCACATGATAACAGACATAGTAGCCAATGCAGTAACACACACACACACACACACACACACACACACACACAGAAATAAAATGAAGAAATAAAATTCCATTAATTGCAAAACACATTATAGTCTGCATCAAAAATATAATAGAATCTACAAAAAAGGTTCTAAAACTAATAGGTAAGTTTAACGAAGCTGAGGGATACAAAATCACCACAAAAATCAATTGTAGCTGTATACATCAGACCCAATTAAAACTCACATATTAAAAAACAGTATTTACAGCAGCATTAGAAATATAAAATATGTTGGGATAAATCTGACAAAAACTGTGAAAGATCTGCACAGTGAAACATAACAAATATTACTGAGAATAAACTAAGACATAATTTAGTTTAAAAAAGAGATATACTATGTTCATGGGTCAGAACACTCACTAAAATTAAGATATCAATTCACCCCAAACTGATCCATAAGCCGAAAACAATCTGAATCCAAATCCTAGCATGGGTTTTGGTAAAAATCACCAAGCAGATTCCAAAATTCATATGTAAACACAAAAGAAATGGAGCCAAAGCTGAAACAAGTTTGAAATGGAATAATGATGTTGGAAAATAAATGCTACGATTTCAAGACTTATTATGAAACTAAAGTAGTTGTAACAGTACTATTTTAGCATAAAAGAAGGCCAAATTAATTAACAGAACACATAGAGATTCCAGAAATAGTTTTCAAGGTCTTAAACACATATATGGGCAACTGTTTTTCAACAAAGTTGCAAAAGCAATCAATTGGTTAAAACAAAGTCTTTAAAGAAACTGTGCTAGAATATTTAGATATCCATATGAAGAAAAAAACTTTATCCATCTCTAGAAATATATACAAATCTTAACTCAAAATAGACTGTATCTTAAATAAAATAAATAAAAATATAAAACTTTGAAAGGAAACCAGGGAAAATCTTTGTGATCTTAGGTTAAGCTAAGATTTCTCAAAAGAATAAACTGATAAGTTGAACTTAATCTTAATTAAAAACTCCTCTTCCAAAAAAAAGAAAAACAATTCAAATAGAGAGAAAAGACAAGCCACAAACTAAATAAAGTTTTTTGTAAATCATATATCAAATAAAATATTTACATTTGGAATACATAAAATACTCTGAAAACTCAAAAATACGAAAACAATACAATTTTTAAAAGAAGACAACAGATTTAAACACACTTCATCAAATAAAATAAACATATGGCAAATAATCATATGAACATATGCATAATATCATTACTTATTAAAAAATGTAAATAAAATGATAATTAGATGCCATTACACACCTATTGGAATAACTAAAACTAAAAAGACTAACTATATGAAATACTGAGAGATTTAAAGAACTGAAACTCATGCTGCTGGTGGAAATGTAAACAGGTACAACCATTTGAAAAATTTTTTGCTTTCTTTTTTATTTTTTATTTTTTTTGAGAGAGAGAGAGATAAAGAGAGCAAGAGCAGTGAAGTGGCAGAGAGAGACACACACACACACACACACACACACATACAGAATCTGAGGGAAGCTCCAGGCTCCAAGATGTCAGAACAGAGCCCGATATGGGGCTTGAACTCACAAGCAGCGAGATCATGACCTGAGTCGAAGTCGGACACTTAACCAGCTGAGCCACCCAGGTGCCCCTGTTTCCTCCTTGAAAAGTTAAACTTACATCCACCATATGATCACTACCCAGTGAAAGTATCATTTAGTAAAAAATCAGCACAGCTTTTTAGTGATGACCAAAATTGCCCCTGCAAAAATCTATCACAAAATTCTGTTCAAAATTTAATCAAATTGAAAAGATTATATTAAATTCAGCTGAGTTTACTCAACTCCAATATTTGTTTCCATATTCAGAATAAGTCTATTGCTATGTTACTCTTCTATAGCAGAAAAAATGCACCAAATACAATTAAGAAAATACAGGAAAAAAAATTCCTTTCCTAGCAATATATAAGAAGTTGTATTATACTTAAGAAATAAAAACGGTTAACATATTAATGACAGCATCAGAATGCAAGATGAATTTTATTATCTGCAAAATCATCTAAAACTAAAATTACAAACTAATTATTTAAAATGTAGGGGTGCCTGGGTGGCTCAGTCGGTTAAGCATCCGACTTCGGCTCAGGTCATGATCTCACAGTTTGTGGGTTCAAGCCCCACGTCGGGCTCTGTGCTGACAGCTAGCTCAGAGCCTGGAGCCTGTCTTTGGATTCTGTAACTCCCTCTCTCTCTGACCCACCCCTGCTCACTCTGTCTCTCTGTGTCTCTCAAAAAATAAATTAAAAAAACATTAAAAAATTTTAAATGTAAAAATACATATACTTACAATAACAAGTTCCTCTAAGTGGATTACCAACATAGCGATTTTCTGAATCACACCTGCAGAAACAAAAAGCCTCATTTACTACTGAACAACAAAATTCAAAAGCTCCATATTTTTCTTCAAGCAAGGAAGTAATTAAACTCTACATTAAAAAAAAAACTATTCCATTAATCAAAGTTTTTAAAACAAATCTTCGTAATAATTAATGTAGAAAGTCCATATCTGAGCATGAGTCAAGAGAAGAAACATTGAAGACAAATAAACACATGCAAAATGAGAAAAGGTAATGTCACAATGCAAATGGGTTAAGACTTGGAGTTTGGGGCTATATAATTTTCCTTAATAATATGAGAAGAAATTGAAAGTCTTGATAATGAGATAGAGACAATTTTAGGTAAAGGAAGAAAATTGTGGGAATTCATAAATCTACATCATTTTCTTACTTTTGGTATTCTTGGAAATTAATATATTTTCCCCAGTTTCTACATAAGGAATCTATATCTTAAAAGAGATCTCCCCAAATGTATATCAAAGAAAAGTTGTTTTTTTCTTCTAAATCATCAATTCTAAATTAAGGAGCTCAAACTCTAAATTTACGTAAGCATATTATTAAAAAAAAGGGAAAAACATAAGAGCATTCTGAATCATTAATTCTAAATTAAATTAACTTTTTCACACTTATGGTTAATTATAGCAGTAGAGGAAGATCATAAGTATTTTCCAAATTTCTGAAGTTCACATCTTTATATCCCTGTTTCCAGAATTCAGTAAAAATGACAATAAGTGCCTAACAGAGATACAGTTTGATTTTATATAGTATTTCTTCTTGGAACACCCTCCAAAAAATTATTATAAAATGGTATACACCAGGCTAACTGAATAAAGTGACAATATTTAAAGTGTATGTAAAATTTTAAAAGATGAGAAAGGTTTTCTCAAAATGTCTTAACTTTTAAATGTTTATGTATTTTTGAGAGAGAGAGCACACATAATACACAAGCACAGTGAAGGCTAGAGAGAGGGGGAGAGAAAGAGAATCCCAAACATGGTGTCACCACAGAGCCAGATGTGGGGCTCAATCTCAGGAACCATGAGATCATGACCTGAGCTGAAATCAAGAGTAGGACGTTTAATTGACTGAGCCACCCAGGCACCCCAAAAAATGTCTTTAGTAGTAACAGTTAATCAGAACAGAGGAATGATTTTAATACATATTTTTTAATTAATGAAAGGCCAAATAGTTGAGAATAATATGCCAAAGAATCACTTTACATTCTGAATGCATTTATCAGCCATGTGTTGCTAGTTTTTTTATTCATGCAAAGAACTGAGTAGAAGAGTAAATCTTTTTTTTTTACACTAACTACAAAGTTAAAGTAGAAATATAATAGTCCTTTATACCACTAACTTTATTCTCAGTGAAATAATGAAAGTTTGGGGATTAGGTTTCCTATGACCTCCTCAAAAGCAACTTCAAAATGTGTGATATATAGTAGTTTTCTAGCAAGAAAATGACCACACTCATTGCTTCTGGGTTCAGCACTCCAGGCTCTCTGCTATTTCTGTGCTACTGCTCCTTCCTTTAGGCTCACCTCCATAAATTCCATCACTTTGTACCCAATACATATATATACTGAAGGACTGATTTACAATACTATAAATTTGGCTTGTTGCAAATTATCTCAATACTACTTTCAGAATAGGAATACATTCAACAGAATAGTGCCTGCACTGCTATGAATGATATTCCCTCTGCACTTTATTTGTTTAAATAGATGGCATTCAAAGTACCACAGCAATCTAACTAATTTTAATAAACGTAAGGATTTCAAGTACTTTTTAATTGATCTATATGTTGACTTTAAGAGCTCCAGATACAAACCTAATTCCTCATTAAGGAAGTTATATAGTTTTTACTGTTTTGATAGTATTGTTATTCAAATTATTTAACCTTCAATGTAATACAATTTTTATAAAGGAATGGTTAAAATTTTATTTTCTTCAAACCATAAATTTTCTCAGGAGGATGAAATCATATGCTCCTCTTTAGGACATAATTTTTGCTAGTTTTCATTTACTCAAATCAGCAGTTTTAACAGAAATAAGGAATTAACACCACCTCATTAAGAATTAAGCTGAGATACTTTCTAGAGTTCTTGAAGCTACCTAACATAAGAATTATATTCTCTTTCAAGCTTTCAAACTCAAAAAAGCAAAGTAGAATCATATATTGTCTGAAGTTCTTTATAAGTATTGAATTTTGAATGTATTAAAAGTATTTTCAAAATGTGTGATTATGAGTTGAATTTAAACATCAATTTTTGAACATTTGATTTCAGCTGTCATTAAAAAAAAATCACTAGTGCCTACAAATAACTAAGGAAATCAATAGTTCCAAAGGAAACACTATGAAACTTTAGGCATTATTCAGCCTGTAAAACACAAAAGGAGGCATAAATATATGCAAACACATGCCTAAATTTTCATTGAGACATCTCAACATCATCAGGATGATGATGTTCAATTGAAATATCATATGTTTGCACGTATAGGAGGATTAGGAGGAACTTGACGGAGGACCAAGGGGGAGAAGAAGGGCGGAAATGGTGGGGGAAAGGGAGAGAGGCAAACCATGAGAGACTCTTGAATGCTGACAAAAACTGAGGACTGATGGATGTGGGGGGGAGGGGGGATGGGCATGGAGGAGGACACTTGTGGGGATGAGCACTGAGTGTTATGTGGAAACTAATTTGACAATAAACTATTTGTAAAAAAAAAAAAAAAAAGAAAAAAAGAAAGATAATGTTCAATTTTATCTAATAAAAAGTCCAATAAGCTTTAAAGGAGCCAGAAAAGTTGACCTTACTGTTCATATGCATAAGTAAATATATTACTAGCTCAAGTAACCACCAACTGATGAATGGATAAAAATATGGTATATACAATGGATATTATTTGCCATAAGAATGAAAATCTTGCCATTTTCAACAATATGGATGGAACTATAGAGTATAATGCTAAGTCAAATAGATCAGTCAGAAAAAAGACAAATACCCTACAATTGACTCATAAGTGGAATTTAAAAAACAAAACAAATAAGCAAAGGAAACTGAGAGAGAGAGGGAAAGAGAAGCCAAGAAATATACTCTTCAACTATAAAGGACAAACTGATGGTTAGCAGAGGAAAGGTGGATGGGAGGGAAAGGTGAAATAGGTGATAGGGATAAAGAACAAATTTATCATGATAAACACTGAGTAATGTATAGAATTGTTGAATTGCTGTATCATGTACCTGATAATATAACACTATGTTAACTATCCTGGAATTAAAATAGAAAACAATAAAAAAAAGAAAATAAATGAAGAGTTTTTAGGGGAACTAGATTTCAAAGATAATAAAATATATTCAAGGCCTGTAATTAAAATAGCACAGTATCAGTGCATCAATAGAAAGACCAAGGTACAGAATAGAAATTTAGAAACAGGCTCAACTATCATATACTAAAAATCTGGTATATGATAAAAATGATATTTTAAATTACTAGGGTAAAGTCTTTTTCATATGGTATGCAGAGAACTGGATAGCCATTTGGAAAAACATAAAATCAGATTCAATCCTCACACTCTACCCATATTAAAAAAAAAGAAAACAACTCTAAATGGATCAGACATCTGAGCATACAAAATAAAACTTTAAACACATTAGAAAAAAAGACTACACGGTGACAAGGTATACTGAAAGGCATGGTAAAAATAAATGCTGTTAGTAAAATCAAAAGACATAATAAATTGGGAGAAAATATTGACAACATATGTGACATAAAAGGGCTAAAGTCCCTAATTTATGAAGAACTCTTTAAAATGAAGAACTAAAAATTCCATAGAAAAACTGACAAAATACATAGACAATGCACAAAAAAAAATGATAAAAAATCATTCTTAATTATATGAAAAGATGTCCAACATCACTTATAATCAGGGAAATATCAGCCAAAACTATACCAAGATGACATTTCTCCTCGATCAGACTGTCAAAATTTCAAAAGCATAGCAATATGCTCTGTTTAGGAGACTGTGGGCACACAGTGCTCCTATACAATTATGACCTGGTGGGAATACAAAATGAATAAATCTCTATGGAAGAGAAGTTAGCAATGTCTAACAAATCTACACAAGCATTTATTCTTCAATCCAGAAGTCCCACTTATAGGAACTTTGGAATCTAAATACCCATGAACACAAAATTTGTTAAAGAATCCACAGTACATAAACACAATGAAATACTATACATCTGTAAACAAAACCAAACAAAAAAATGATAAACAATTTAATGATCTAATACAGATACGTAACTACAGTATGTCCCTTTTTGTGTAAGAAAGAAAAGAATAAATGTCTACATCTATGTGTGCCTGTGTGTGAATATACATACACATATGAAATATATGAATAAATATATGTCTATATATATGTATGTATACACACACACACACACGAATCACAGGAAGAATAAACCAGAAAATAATGATTTTGTTTACCAGAGGAGAAAAGAGGAAATGGGGACTACTCTCTCTGAGTATATTTTTAAATATTTTTCTCCTTTGAAAGAAGGTCAATGTTGAACATATTCCTAAATATTCATATTAAGCCAATAAGAATAGGAAAAGGGGGGGGAAAGCCTAAAGCACAAAGTAAACTAAAAGAAATTAATCTAATAAATTTCAAGTGAATACTACACAGCCATCCTGAAGAGAAAAGGAGGAAGGGAAGGAGGAGAGTAGTAAGAGAGAGGTAAGGAGGAACAGGAAACAAAGAAGAAAGAAAAGAGACCATTCCAAATAACTTGTTAACACAGTATCTCACAATATATCCTCAATTCTGGGCAGATAAAGGTGGAAAAAATCAAACTTTTAAATCTTTTTAGGTTTGCTTATTAAAGTGATATAGACAAAGCAATTCTGAAAGTACTTCTTGTATCAGAGAACTGAGCAAATAAGGTATGTGTTAATGTCACTGGAAGCCACTGTTTTCACTAATGGAGGAGACATATAATTAT